GGGGGGGGGGGTCCTGTCACAGCCTCTTTGCCTCATGGTTTGAATTCATGGTTACAACAGTCCCTCATTTTATGGTGGAGAGGGAGAATGTGGACCACATTCCACAACTGGTGAGGGGCCAGGAGCCCACCCACGTGCACCCAAGCCACTGCTCTCTGTGACACCAGTCCCGCCCAGAAAGGAGTGTCAACAAGCAGCCTTAGGAGATGGCCTGTCCGTGGCTCCCAGGGATAAAGAAAGGCAAGCCTTGCGGTAAATGGAGTCCTGGCACTCACTACGTGGATGGAGGACCTTGAAAATCTGATGTGGTCACCAGAGGACACATGCTGTGTGATCCCAGGTAGATGAGACAGCAGATGGACAGAGGCCAAAGCTTAGCAGGGTTCCTGGGGTGGGAGCTGTAGCTTGGGAGCAGTGATTTTCATGGGAACACATGGTGGTTTCTGTGAAGCGGTGCAGTAACATGGGAACACATGGTAGTGACAGTTGTACGGCATGAAGAACATATCCCAACGTCACCAAATGGTTCATGTCAGAAATGGTGAGTTGTCAAACATTTTATATAATTGTCTTTGTTGTTGCTGTTAAGTGTGCCATCAAGTCAGTTCCAAATCAGAGAGACGCTGCAGTTCAATGCTTATCCTGCAGTGCCACACCAAGACTCCATACATAGTTGTTGTTAAGTACCTATACAAGGTTTTCCAAGGAGCGGCTGGTGAGCTTGAACCACCAACCTCATGGTTCAAACTGACTTTGCAGTCCAGTGCATTAACCCACAACCCCACAGCACCACACCAAGACACACATATTCTCTCTCTCTTTTTTTATATATATGAGCTCTGGTAGCGTAGTGGTCACGAGTCAGACTGCTAACTTCAAATTTTGTGTGTATATATGTATATGTGTGTGTGTGTGTGTGTGTGTAGATCTGATGTGACGCTGTGGGTTAATGTGCCAGACTGCAAAGCCGTTTGAACTGCAAGGTCAGCGGTTCCAGTTCACCAGCTGTTCCTTGGAAACCCTACACAGGGTCGCTATGGGTCAGAACCGACTTGATGGCACTTAACAACAGCAACAACAATATATGTGTGTGTGTGGATGTCATAGGTCCTGTTCGCTGCACTTGAGGCCTCCAGGGGGTGGGGCTTAAGAACCATAGTTGGGAGTTCCAGGGCTTTGCTCTCTCATCTGACTCTCCCTTGGGAGATTTTCCCTTTGGTTGAGACTTTTCTGACCTCTCCTTATCTCTGAGCAAGCACAGAACTCAGAGCAATGGAGCCAACTTCTAATCCAACAGCAGGTGGTGGTCGGCCGGGTTAATGTTTCTTCTATAAAACTCCTTTGTAACCAGGGTCTATGTCTGGTAACAATCAATAATGATAAGGAAGAGATAACTGCTAAAGCTTCACAGTTCCACAGACTTCAACATGAATGCTTTCATGTGATTCTCTCCCATAATAAAGAATGTCTTTATTGTGGGGGAAATACATGGTGGTGGTGATGTGCTGTGGAGTCGGTTCTGACTCATAGCAACCCTGGACAGGGTTTCCAAGGATGTAAATCTTTGCAGGAACAGAAAGCCTCATCTTTCTCCCACAGAACGGCTGGTAGATTCAAACTGTTGACCTCCTGGCTAGCCAACCAGCTCACTGTCATTGTTCAGTGCAAAGACCTTCTGCTCACTGTATTATGCAGCCAATACTACTATTTCTGAACTTTTCCATCACCCCAAACAAAAACTCTGCACCCATCAAGGAATAACTAACACCCTCTCCCCGTAGCCCTCGGTCTCCATATGTCTGTCTACCCTAGATATTTCAAGGTGGACTCATACAACATTTGTCCTTTGGTCTGACTTCTTCATTTATCCACAGCTTGCAGATTCACTGTGCCGTAGAATGCATCACAGGTTCATAGTTCTTTACGGATGAATGCTGGATTTCGTCTGATTTTCACAAGGCTCCTGGGAGCTGAGCAGGGCAGCTGACAGTGTTCCTGTTATCTCCACTTTAGGAAGAAGAAACTGATGGACAGGGACTCTCATCACTTGACAAATCAGTGGTTAAGATTCTGGACCTGAGTGCTTTCTCTGAGCTTTTCTACCAGTTACTTCACTTCTTTATTACAGTCATTCAGGGACCTAGAGAGGGAATGGTATCCCTGGTGTGGCGCTGTGGGTTAATGCTCTGGACTGCAAAGTCAGTTTGAACCGCAAGGTCGCCAGTTCAAACTCACCAGCTGCTTCTAGGAAACCCTATGCAGGGTCATTATGGGTTGGAACCAGCTTGATGGCACTTAACAACAACAACAAATTATATTTAGAAGCTGGGATGCAATCAAGTAAACAATTCGACCAAGTTGATGTTAGAAAAACTCCATGGTTTTTTCAACACTGAATATGTATTGATTATTTTTCAAAGAGATTTTACATAAAATTCTTACTCAGAGCTTCAAGACAATCCTACCATTTGTTGTTGTTAAGTGCCGCTGAGTCAGTTCTGACTTATAGCGACCCTATATAAGGGATTCCAAGGAGCAGCTGATGGGTTTGAACTGCCAACCTTATGGTTTGCAGTCCAGTGCTGATCCTTCAGTGCCACACCAGGAGTCCTACCACTAGCTAGGACAAAAATGTGGCCCTGATCTTAGGGTTCAAAAAACAAACTAGAGTGCAGAGAAGGTACACTTTCAGAGGTCTCTCAGCCAGTGTCCACCAGAGAGAGCCAGCAGGATAAAATTGGAGCTTAAAATTCCCCGTCCTGGTGTGGCATCGTAGGAGAAACACTGGACCACTATCCACAAGACTGGCAGGTCAAACCTACCAGCCTTGTCTGGAAAACCCATACAAGGTCTCTATGAGTCAGAATTGACTTGACGGCACTTAACAACAACAATTAAAATTCCCTGTGAGTTTTTAACTAAGACAATTTTATTGAAACCTAAAGACGCCACCTCCAAGCTGTGGAAGAAAACTCAGTATAAAGAGGTCCACCTCCTCTCTTGCCTTTCCTGGGCTCTCGAAGCCTTACCTCCAGGCAGGTAGGGATGAAGAGGCCTGTGGGAGACACGTGTCCCTGAGGTACAGCTTGCTTCCAACTGGAAATCAGCCCGCTGGCTCGAGACAGCTCACAGGGCGTGGGGCCTGTGGAAGACAGAGAGTCAGTCACGTGATGGGGATGGGCCCTAAGGAAAGCTGGGCCCGGCTGAGCCTCCCTGTGTCTGGTACAGGGTCTACCCATCTGTATCTGACAGAGAGCCTCAGACTTTGACATATGTGTGTACAGCAGGCCAGTACTGACATACCAACTGGGCAGGTGACTTAAATGGTCCCAGCCTTAGGACAGAGATCAGAGTTGGGAATGCAGATGAGAGACAGTTGTTCAAACTGCAGGGTTGGACATGAAGGAAACTTCCCAGGGGCAGTGTACCCCCCCACTCTCAGCTGCTTTTCCCACCTGGGGTCCTGCCAAAGTCAGCAGAAATCTTCCAGGAGTGGGGACTTGGGACTATGTGGTCTGAGGGACTGGGCAGTGAATGGCGAGGTGCTTAGGAAGAAAAAGTGGTCTTTAAGAGCAGGTGGGAGGACTCAAGGGTTCCACTTACATTGGGGGATCTGCGGGGAGCGGGCGGCCAGCGAGGCTGGAATGTATTCTCCCTTGCCATCCACACACCAGCAGTGTCCTGGAGGAGACAGTTCAGGAGGTGTGTTGGGGACTTGCTCCTGGAATCTCCCCAAAACAGCTCCTCTACTCCTCTCAGAACAGGAGCAGGGGAGCCCTCCGCACCAGCTGGGCACTATCCACACCACAGGGCATAGCACGGGGACCCCCACTGATTAACAGGGTTCTTGGTTCTGAGTATGAATGAGGGTGTGCTGTGGATTCCTGGGTGTCAGCCCCCCTCACCAGTCCTGGCGTAGCACTGCACTGGCTCCCAGCTCCCAAAGGCATCACACTGCGGCATGTAGGGGCCACTGCTCAGAAGGGAGGGTGCTTCTGTCAAACCGCCCAGGGAAGAGCCTTGTCGCTGATAGAAGGTAACGGCTGGAGGAGAGAGAAGAGGGCAGAGATTTAAAACCCAGACTTCCCTTGGCACCAGGGGACAGCTGAGCAGCTCCTGCTACTCCATAGGGACAGGGTGGCAAACCATAGATGTTCCCCTTTCACCAATGACCAATCAGGCTGAAGACTGAAGGAATCTCTGTAGTCTCCTTTCCACGTCTTCCACATAGACTTGATCAACTCAACAAAGTGACTCACAGCCAGGCAGGAAGAAGAATAATTGTGTCATCCAGTGGATTCCGACACATAGTGACCAGTGTGGAAGACCACAGCTGCCTCAGAGGGTTTTCTTAACAGAAATCTTTATGGGGGAGGGGGTCTGCTGGGTGGGTTCAAACCAATAATCTTTTAGTTAGCAGCTGAATGCTTACCTGATTGTACCACCAGGTACAATTAGAGTAACAATTGTTGTTGTTACGTGCCTCCGAGTCCTTTATGACTCATAGTGACCCTGCATAGGGTTTCTGAGTAGCTGCTGATAGATTTGAACCATGCACCTTGAGGTTCAAACCAACCTTGTGGTCCGGTGCTTACCCTATAGTGCCACACCAGGATAATATATCACATATATTTCACATGTGAAAGTTGGGCAGTGAATCAGGAAGACCATAGAAGAACTGATGCATTTGAGTTAAGGTGTTGGAGAAGAAAATTTAAAGTACCATGGACTGCCAGAAAAACAAACAAATCCGTGTTGGAAGTACAGCCAGAATGGTCCTTAGAAGTCAGGATGACCAAACTTCGTCTCTCATACTTTGGACATATTATGAGGAGAAGGACATTATGCTTGATAACATGGAGGGTCAGTGAACAAAGAGGGAGACGCCCAATGAGATGGGTTGACGCTGCGACAGGAGCAACGTAAACAAAGGGTAACAACCATTGTGAGGTTAAGGCAGGACCGGGCAGTGTTTCATTATGCTGTGTATAAGGTTGCTATGAATAGAACTGACTCGATGGCACCTAACAACAAGAAGGACCAAGAAGGAATCCTGATGGTACAAACTGGACCACTAACCACAAGACTGTCCGTTCAAACCCATCAGCCAGTCAGAGGGAGAAAGATGAGACTGTCTGTGCCCATGACGGGTGCCACCTTGGAAACCCTAAGGAGCTGTTCTACTCCACATAATACAGGGTCACTACGGTTCAGAACTGACCTGCTGGTAATGGGTTGGGTTGGGTTTAAACTCAGTACATACTCAACTTGATGCCATCCTCACAATAACCACACAAGAGAGGTACTACTAGTATCCATGAATGAGAAAACTTAAAAATAAGTTAAGCAGCTTGCCCCACATCTAACAGCACACTGAGGGGCCGGACTTTGAACTCAAGAAGTCAGCTTCAGTAAATCACACTGTGCGTCTTCCCTTGTACTGTCAAAGCCTTCCCATTTAGTTGTTTACTCCACTGAAGACTTGATTATCCTCAAAGCCTATCTGAACTTCACAGAAGCCCCACAAAGTCAGCATTTCACCCCAAAGTGAGAAAGCAGAGTTTCTGTGAGAGGCTTTAAGGTAAGGCTTTCTTCAGCTGCCCTGCCTGGCTTTTCTCTGCAGCATTACTCACTGCTGACATACTAGAATCTATTTCTATTGATGATGTCTGGCTCCCCCAAGCTAATATTTAAGCTCCTGGGTGCAGGGATATGTGTTTAGTTTGTACCTAGAGTAGGGCCTGACTCATAGGAGGTGCCCAAGAAAAGTTTGTTGCATGAATAAAAGATTGAGTAAGTGAGTGATGAGGAAGGGAGGAATGGAAGGGGAGGGGTCAGAACACAGAGTCGTGATTCTGGGTCTCCCAGTTTCCAATATTTCTATGTTGTGACATTCTAATGTTCCAGTACGATGTACCCCACTGCCATCCTCCTTCCTAGGTGGCCATGAAAAGGAGTCGTGGTAGGGTAGTGGATTATGAGCTAGACTGCTAATCACAAAGTCAGAAATTCAATCTACCAGCCACTCCACAAGACAAAGAACCTTGGAAACTACATACAGAGTCACTGTGAGTCAGAACTGACTCAGTGGTACACACCACCACCACCAACAAAGGGGACCATGAGCTGTCTCCCTATCGTTTTTCAAGTCCTGCCTCAAATCTGCCCTCTGTTGCTACCACTGATGGGGACTAGGGTGGGGGGACAAGACAAGGGTGGCCATGTCTGGGGAGCCCAGTTTAGAATAATTGCTGTCCACTGGGACAGTCCTCTCTGATGCACCAGCACTCAGCACTGGGCTTCACGGCCTCTAGAGAGGAGGACTCTACCTCTGTGATGTGCTCTAGAGAGGAAGACCTCACAGGACACCACCCACACCCTGGTCAGAGCCCTCTGGGGCACCAGGGCCTGAAGGGGAAGAGGTCAGTACCATGGACAGGGCTCTAGACTCCGAGGAACTTTCACATGAATCCTGGAAATGCCACTCTTAGCTGTGTGATCTTGAGCAACTTTCTCAGCCTCTGTGAAATGGGCCTAACACTCACCTAACAGGGTAAGTGTCGTGTTTGTATCAGATCAACAGTGGTGAGCGCCACCCTCACACCTAGCACAAAAACACCTGTTTTCTTCCATGTCCCTCCCCATCCTCATGATGCACCCAACCCTGGCTCTGATGCTTTGTTGGCCAAAGACCCCTGGTGAGTGGTCCTCAAGTATCTCCTTGTCCCGAACCCTCAGTCCCTCTGCTCCCTGGGACCCAGAAGTCCACAACACAGAGCTTTGTCTCTTGTGAATCAATAGAAATGGGGGATTCTGAGGGAATGATCAGCCCTTCCTTTTTCCTTGACAAACTCAGACACATAAGATGAGAGCTTGTGACTAGTTGGGGGAGATTTTCTTAGCTTGACAGCTGAAGAAAATGCATTAGGCCACTCAATGATAAATCTCTATTCCATCAACAACCTCCTGTCTTCCTCTTACAAGTCCTTAAATCACCAAAGTGGCCACAACAGAAGGGTTAGCCATCCCACTCGTCTCTTTCATGGCATCAAATCCTGTCAGTGTACAGAATTTAGAATGGCTGGTTTCCTGCCTAAACAAGACCCTAGGCCTCTGAGGAATAGAAAGGAGGCTTCTGGGTACAAAATGAGGACAAAAAGAGGGGAAGAAGGAAGCAACGAGAATGGTTTAACCAACACTCACTGGGCTCTCCTCTGTGTCCCACCACCCTCCTGTCAGCTCAACCTCCTATGGTGACTGACACATGGCTATGAGGGTGGAATCTGTGCCACCCATAGTTCAAATACCAGCAGGGTCACCCACGGTAGAAAGGCTTCAACAAAGCTCCCAGACTAAGACAGACTAGGAAGAATGGCCCAGAGTTCTACTTCCAAACTAGCCAATGAAAACCTTATGGATCACAGCAGAACGCTGTCAAACTAGCTTGCTTTGGACATGTCATTGGGAGAGATCAGTCATTAGAGAAGAATATTACGCTTGGTGAAGCAGAGGACCAGCAAGGGTAAGGCCTTCGTCAGATGGATTGGTACAGTCATGACAACAGAAGACTCAAATATACCAGGGACTGTGAAGATGACACTAAGCATCATTTCATTCTGTTGTACATGAGGTCACCGTGAGTCCGCACTGATCCTATAGTGACTATCCCTCTATTAACTCTGTCAGGCCCTGGGCCAGACAGTGGGGACATAAGAGGAGTGACACAAGATTCTTTGTCCTCATAAAGAGATGTCTGACATGGTACAGAAGTTTTCAGGAAGAGAACTACCTTAGTCTTTTGTGATTAGAACCTAGGGAACTCCAGACAGAGCATCCACAGGGCAACTCAACAGTGGATGGGAACTTGAGTATGGCTTGGAGATAGGGGAATCCCTCGTCACTGCCAAGTGGGTGTGGGGTCAGTGAGGAGGGTCTGATGTGGTCAGTAAAGGAAGAGCAGAGGACCTAGGAGAAGATAGATGGAGGTTCTGACCCAGCCCCACCTGGCCCAGTCAGCTAAAGGAAAAGGGTGGCTAAAAGCACAGGCTGGGGGCTGGGAGGCAGGAAACCTAGACTCACATTCAGTTCTACTTGTTACTAATTGAGTGAACTTGGGCACGTGACATAAGAGATGTAACCTCAGGCTGAGCAATACAATCATAGTTGTCTTAGAACGGTCACAGAATTAGATGCAAAGATTTGGTAAAGTACTTAGCACAGTACAAGTCTGGTCCAGGGTAATATCCAAGCACTGTTGAGCTATTTTTATGGGCTAAAGGATAGTGAGTTCTTTGAGATTACTTCTCTGTCAGATGAAAGAAACAATTCTTGCCATTCAGTTATTCTCAAGACTAGAGGAGACTTGGAACCCAATAAAAAGGTGCCTGAAACCCAATAGAAATGAGTTGCAATCAAGTCAATTCCAACACAAGATGACCCCATGTGTATAAAAGTAGAACTGTGCTCCATACGGTTTTGAATGGCTGATTTGGGGGCAAGTAAATCACCCGTTGTTTTTTTTTCTGAGGCACCTCTGAGTTCACTCAAACTCAGCAGTTGAGCATGTACCCCCCAAGGGGCTTCACTAGTTCCTCAACCACCGAGGGTTCTTCTTTGTCACACTTCAGGGATGTTCATAAATGCGCAGAAACTGGGGGAAAGCTTTGAACCAGGTCATGATAGTGTATAAACATTTGGGATTGGGGTCCCTCACAGTTCAATGAGAAAGTCCAACACAAATGGGGACAGGTGACATCCATTATAAAGCCATCCCTTTATATGGCTCTGCTGGAGGACTTGGAGGCCTCATGAAGACATGGGCCCTGTCAGAAGAAAACGATGGAACATCACTCCAGTTGTGACTGGCATCTTAAGACTCATTGGCCTGGAGAATTCCAGGAGACTAGTAGAAGCATTCGCTTCCACAAAGACATGGAACAAGACACTCACTTGACTGGGCTGCCAATCTCAGGGCATAATCACTCCCAGTCAGAAACTTCTCAGAGAACGTCTCCCGGGATGAGAAGGTCAGAGGAAGAGAGAATTCCTCACTGGTCAGCCGGATTCCCTTGGCAGCTAGGAAGCTCTCCCCCAGAGGAAACCAAGAATTGTTCGATGCCAAGATGACCTCTTCTGTTTCCTTAATGAACTGTAGGACGCGACGTTTTGCTTCCTCACAAGAACCAGGACCTGTGGAAATAAAAACAACATGAATGAATACATCACAGGGAGAGTTCCCTCTGCCTCAGCTTAAGAGTGTGTCCCCAAAACTGAGAGACAATAGGTCCTACTGAGTAAAGAATCCGCTGGTGGTATTCTTGGCTATTGCACCAGGTAACTAAGGCAACCATCATCTATGCAAGAAGTTACTGGTCATTTCTGTCACCTACTATCCATTGTATTCATTCCTTGGGCCATCAAGTCTGTGCCAACTCACAGTGATCCTACAGGGCCAAGCAGAAATACTCCAGGTTTCCAAAGTGTGGGAGATATGGTTTTCTGTTCCCTCAAAGTGTTATAGCCTCGGAAACTCTACACAGGGTTGTTATGGGTCCAAATAAACTCGATGGCACTTAACAGTAATTGTTACAAAAGCAGACCACCACATCTTTATCCAGCAGAGTGGCTGGTGGGTTTGAACCACCAACTAGTTGCATAGCAGTCAAACACTTAACTACTGTGCTATCAGGGCTCCCCTTCCTATTATTCCAGCTGTCATTATTAAATACCTTCTGTATACTAGGCCTAAGGAGCTTTGCTAGTGTAGTGGTTATGAGTTGGGCTGCTAATCTCAAGGTCAACAGTTCAAAACTACTAGCCATCCCATGAGAGAAAGATGAGACTTTCTGCTCTTGTAAAGATTTACAGCCTTGGAAAGCCTATGCAGGGTCGCTATGAGTCAGAACCGACTCCGTGGCACACCACCGCCAGGCTTAACACATTCTACCTGTCACCTTTTATGATTCTCAGAACAATCCTTTGAGGTCATCATTGTAATCCTCATCCAGTTCATGCAGTGGTAAGTAGGGGAACCAGGATTCGCACCAGCCAGGGCTCTGTCCTTTAAATCAATGCTTCACAAACTATGGGGTACATGAGGATCGCCTGGGGACCCTGGGGGAATGTGGATTTTGTTTCAGTAGTTGGGGTTTAGGGTTATTAGTGTCTAACATTCTTGGGTGCTGCTGGAGCTACTGGGCCATGCATTACACGTCCAGACTTGGGACCGATGGTTGCTGAACCCTTTAGGTCATACACCTCTACTGTACAGTGAATTCTTCTACCCATAGTCTTTACAACTGCCACCAAACATCCTGTTTTCCAAATAGGACTGGGAAAGAGAAGACGGACAAGCTACTGATGAGGTGACATGATTCGGTTGGAAGCGACTGTTAACAGAGTTCACTGTGATTGCAAAAACTTAGAATTCTAACATGGGTTTCAAATGAACCATTTTTGGAACAGGACAAGAAATATCACTAGAAGGAAGAGCCAGGAGTGGAGTGTGTCCTTTGCACTCCAAGATCCCTGTGCATTGACCCTCCTTTGTCGAAATCTGTGATGCACAGGCATGGCAGGGGAACAACGGCTGATCCAAGAGCCAGAGCACCAGAGTTGTGTGGGCGGTGTTTCCCAGCCCACAGAGCAAGTAAAGCTGAGTGTCTTTGGCCAGGAAGTTCACTTGTGGAGCGGAGTACTTTCAGGCACTTAATTGGGGAGCTAGTTTGATTGACACACAAAGCCAGACCAGGTGTCTTTGAGCTGAGGCTTACACTGGAATGGCGTGTCCTTTAAGCATTTATCAGCAGCCCTAAGAAAGCTCTGTAACATTTCTGGAGTAGAACAGAGGTCACTGACCAGAGAGAGAGGCCTGCCTGCAGGCAGCACCGAGGAGCGGCTATCCAGACTGGAACAGCTGTGCCCTGAGTTTTCTGACCCTAAATTGTAACCTGTTCACTTCTGCACTAAACCCCATCGCTGGGAGTATGGTGTCTGAGTTCTGCGTGGCCGCTGCAATGAATTATTGAGACCAGCTCAGTAGAGAGGGCTATTGGGAGATGGTCGGTGCCGTTTTTTGTTAACTTATCAGCAAAAAGCTTTGCAACCCTTAAAATGTTGCATTTCTTTGTTTATTCAGCTTTATACATGTGCCCCAATGAAAATATATGAGATCACTTTCTCACCTGTCCCAGCTGCCAAAAATGGAATCAAAATTTAAAAGGAAGAAATAAAACACAAAATACAGAAGGACATTCTAATATTTGCTCTCCCATGGATGGTTTTGGACACCCTGGCCTTTTGCTACTCAATGATCAGTATGCTCTAACGTTCACTTCCAATGCTGTGTCCAGAATTCAGGGTGCACAAGATGAGTCATCCAAGTGACTAAGACCTGTTGATACTAACCACCAGGTTTCTCAAGTTGAAAAAGACCAAATTCAGTCAAACAGCATCTAAATGTATAGGTACACCCTATTGTACAAGCCATCACCATAAGCTAAATCAAATTATTCCAAAAGTCACACATAAAAAAAGACTAGTTCGTGACAGTCATGTTAGTGACATCTGAGGGTCGGACCCTTGACAGAAGATGAGGAGTTTGTGGAGAAAGCCAACAGAGTAATGTCTACTTAAGACGCATGAGTTTATGCCTCCCGGTGTTCAAAACGCCCAGGGTTCTACCGTTCTCATTCAACACGCTTCTCACCCAACGTTCTAAAAATCCAGTTGTTGCCTAAACTTTATTGATGTGGTTAGGTGCCATCAAGTCAGTTCCAACTCCTAACGCCCCATGCACAACAGAAGGAAACCCTGCCCAGTCCTGCGCCAGACTCACAATTGTTGTATTTGAGCCCATTGTTACTGGCTCTCTGTCAGTCCATCTCATTAAGGGTCTTCCTTTTTCACCAACCCTCCACTTTTCCAAGCATGCTGTCTTTCTTCAGGGACTGGTCCCTCCTAACAATTATGTCCAAAGTCTCACCATCCTCACTTCTAAGGAGCCTAAACTTAGACTAACATCAAAATAAGATGAATGTTAACATCACCCAGAAACATTCAGCCAGTGCTCTATGCTGTAAAGGACGAAGTGAGAAACTCCGTTACCTACACAGAGACTCCGGACTGCGAACTACAGGGCGTGTTGAAGCCCGCCAGTCACTCTGCGGTAGAAAGATGAGGCTTTCTGCTCCCGAGATTTAAGGACTCAGAAACCCTATACTATACAGGGTTACTATGAATAGGAACTGACTTGATGGCACTTAATGACAAAACAACAAATCTGTAGCTACAATATTAGCAACTGCTGCTTAGAGGAATTCTGATTTGATAATCACAGTAGGGAATTGGGCTGACTGTTCCTTCAAACTGCATAAAATGACAGCTTTATAATCAGACATTTTCATCTAAGACACACAGTCAGCATCACTCCATTTAGCCATGCCTCTAAAGAGCCCTGGGGGGCCTGGAGGAGAAGCAATAGGCTGCTAACTGCAAGGTCTGTGGTTCAAACCCACTAGCCACTCCGTGGGAGAAAGATGAAATCAGTAGTTCCTGTAAAGATCAACAGTTTGGGGAAACCTATGTAGGGTCACTTTGAGTAAGAATGGAGTCCTGGTGTGGTGCTGTGGGTTAATGTGCTGGACTGCAAAGTTGCTTTGATCTGCAAGGTCGGTGGTTCAAGCTCACCAGCCGCTCCTTGGAAACCCTATACAGTGTTGTTATGGGTCAGAACCGACACTACAGCACTTAACAACAACATGAGTAATAATCAACTCAATGGCAATGGGCTTGGGTTTTTGTTTTTGTTTTGGTCTAGGTCTCTTTACCCCAGAACTGAACATACAGTGAGTAGCCCTCCAATGTGTCCCTTAACTCAGGCTTTCACATGTATTAAAGGGGCTTCGAAGGCAAGCGCACCCCCAGAGGTCCTAAGCACAAGCTGGAGAACCTCCACAGCACGTGTGGTGAATGAAATGTCTAACTCATGAGAGCTTTCAGAAGCCATTGTTGTAAGGAGGCAAGTGCCTTACAGAGCTTTCAGAAGCCATTGCTGTAAAGGGGCAAGAACCTTACAGAGCCTTCAGAAGCCATTGCTGTAAGGGGCCAAGCGCCTTACAGAGCCTTCAGAAGCCATTGCTGTAAGGGGCCAAGCGCCTTACAGAGCCTTCAGAAGCCATTGCTGTAAGGGGAAAAGCACCAGCTCATATTCACCTTTTTAGCCTTCACTGGGCTAAAATAATGCTTCACACACCCCAGGCAGCTAATGAAAATCTGAGATGTTCATTTAGATCATTATATGGGCATTTTTAGAACGAGCCATGCTAACTCTGAGCCCAGTGAACTCAGGCGGACAATGAAGGGACACACCTGGCTGCCCCTACACTTGGTTCTAGCTTAGACACTCAGTTTCTAAGATCTTCTGTTGTGCACATAAGTGGACTCACATGCTGGAACCTTGCTTGGCTCAGCCCGAGTGCCGTCCAGTTCTTGACCAGCCTCGTCCACACACCAGCAGCTACGAAGGTCAACGTGCGCCAGAGGAGCATTGAAATCTGAGTAGGGCCCCGGGTACCGGCTGAGCTGTCCATTTAGGATCTGCCAAAAGAGATAGGGGTCCAGGAAGATGTTCCCTCCAGACTGGGTCAGGTCACCCTCCAGCAGCGCCTGGGGGACATCTTGGAAAACAGAATACGCTGTCAGCACTGGGAAGACATCTTGCTGACCAGTCTCATACAGATGTTGGATAAAGACACGGAAGCTATTGGAAGCCACTTCTCTAAAGCTCCTGATCTTCTTGAGCAGCTGGGCAGGGGTGAGCTCCTGGCCACTGCTGTTCTGAGCTGCCCATCGTTGGTACCACTCGAAGGCCTGCTCAGGAGGCCCATCACATTGCATGCGTCGCCACTGTCCCTCCGCACCACACTGTGGGATGTAGACGCTGGAGAGAGCAGGCGGCAGGCTGGAATCAGAGAGCAGGGCCTGCACTGTCCCCAGGAAAGCTTGCTCTGCCTGCAGTTGACAGGAGGTAGGGCCTGGGAGGAATGACGAGAGTGTGTCAGTCAAAGCAGTTTAAAAACCTACTGTCATCGGATTCATAGCAACCTCACAGGCCAGAGGAGACTGCCCCGTAGCATTTCTAAGGTTGTCATCTTTTCAGAAGCAGACTCCCACACCTTTCTCGGAGCAGCTGGAGCTTTCAAACCACCCATCTATCAGTTAACAGCCAAGCCCTTACTTCTTCACCACCCCGACTCCTCTCTTAATTAATTTCGTTAACCCCAAAAGACCAAGATGGAAACACATAATATCCAAACACCATCTAAAACCTGACCCAGCCATAGACATCCCAAACCCAATGCCATTGTCATCAAGTTGATTCTGACTCCCAGAGAACCTAGACAACCTAGTGGAGCTGCCCCCATCGGGTTTCCAAAGCTGTCATCTTTATAGGGGTGGACTGCCACAGTGTCTCGCTATGGTTCAAACCATCATCAACCTTTCAGTTAGCAGCTGAGTGCTTTAACCAGGGCTCCACCAGAGCTCTTAGAGACATCCCTTACACCTTATATGTGTAAATCACACCTGACCGAGAGCCCCTGTCAGTGTCCAGTGTCACCGAGAACAGCTGCTGTTGGCACTGCTGAAATCAATACAACAGGTCCTTCCAGTCAAACACATCCCTGTTCACGCCACATCCGCCAGGCATTTGTGGACATGGTTGCATTTTGCTTAAGTCTAGGCTTTAGCCAAGAGGCTCTGGTAGCGTAATGGTTATGAATCAGGCTGTGGACCTCAAGGTCAGCAGTTCAAAACTATCAGCTGTTCCGCGGGAGAAAGATGAGGCTTTCTGCTCCCGTAAAGATTTACAGCCTCGGAAACCCTGTGCAGGGTCACTATGAGTTGGAACTGACTCCACAGCACATAATAGCAATTACAACAGGCTTTAGCCATGAGTGGATTCTTTGATCTGTAATGATCTGAATCGGAATCTGAAGATTTAATCAATAGATTAAATGAGGTCTCTGATAGCACACATGGTTAAGCATTCAACTACTAGCAGAAAGGCTGGTGGTTCAAACCCACCTGGAAAGACAGAGCTGCAACTGAAAAGTCACAGTCCTGAAACCCCACGGACAGGGGCATGCTGGGTGTGCTGGGCGTGGCATATGCTCTGAGTGCCGCCTGAAGGGGGCACCACTGAGCAGAGTCTATCTGCCAGCACCATTCCCATCACCAGTTGTTAAGAGGTCATCCCACAAGCCAAAACCAGCACTTTTATATTGAAAAACCTCCATGGGTCCAGGCAGACTGTGTGATCTTGCCCTGAAGAATGCAGCAAGAGCAGAAACTCAAAAAAAAAAAAAAAAAATGACTTTGAGCACATCCAAGACCAATTTTCATCAGTGGAAGCGTGGAAGATGCCACTGCCATTTGAGTAAAAAATGAATGAGTCTGCGTTGTATCTTTTAGCTGGTGTTACAGTAAAGTTCTCTAAAAGGTGGTGTTAGATGTTTAGACAGGAGCACATTCTCAGTGCTTGCTGTGGGCATTTTAGTTGTTCTTGGTAAGTGTCGTTGAGTCAGTTCTAGCCCATAGCAACCCTGTATAGGGTTTCTGAGGAGCAGTTGGTGGGTTTGAACCACCAACCTTGTGGTTCAAACTGACCTTAATGCCCAGCGCGTCATCCTGCAGCAGCACACCAGGACTCCATGGGCATTACTTATGCTATTCTCCATAGCTGAGTCCTGGCGTGAATTAACAAGCTGGACTGCAAAGTCAGTTTGAACCACAAGATCAGGGGTTCAAGCTCACCAGTCACTCCTTGAAAACCCTATACAGGGTCGCTGTGGGTCAGAACTGTCTTGATGGCACTTAACAACAACAACGTCTCTGCCTGGAGTCCTGGTATGGCACTGTAGGATAAGCATTAGACTAAAGTATGGTAGTTCAGCTCACTGGCCACTCCATACAGGGTGGCTCTGAGTCAGAACCACTTTGACGACACTTTAACAAGAACAACAATAAGGTCTCTGCCGATGGCACAGCTCTACTCTGCACACATGGGATCGTCATGAGTTAGAATCAACGCAACAGAAACTAACAACAACAACAAAATAGATTAAATATCCAACACACTTACATTGCTTGGGCTCTCCAGTTGCACTGCGAGTTCCAGGGATAGCTTGTCCCTTGGCATCCACACAGTAGCATTCCAAGTTAAAGCATTGGACAGGTAGGAAATGTCCCTCGTTGGTACAAGAAGGGACAGGTAGGCTGGACCCAGCGGGCTGGCTACCCATGAGGTTTTGCATCTTTTCCCTTTGCTTTTCACACTCTGTGGGGCACCGGGGTCGTCTGCCTCTAACTCTTGAGCCAGGAAGTTCTTGGCCCCGGTAATCCACACACCAACACTCCCCAGCTGAGCACTGAACATCCTCATAGCTTCCTTCTGCAGTGCATGATGGGACAAAAAGCCTTCTGGGTGTCTGGTCACAGGCTTGAGAACTGAGCCCTACTTCTAGCACATCCCCTAAATCTCGGGCTATATCCTCTGGCACAGAGATAGCATGCTGCAAGAAGAGAAGGAATTCTGGAAGCTCCAAGAGAGAAGCAAGGGATTGCAGAGCATTTTGGTTCTCCTGTAAGTTGATTTCAAAGCCAAAGCTGCCCACAAGCGTCACATTCATAGCCCTTGCCGAGGCTTTGGGAGTTTCCCTGTCAAGGTTTGAATCAGACCCCACAGAGAACTGTTTGACTACATCCACGGTGTCCTCTCTATTCCTGAAGCCTGGGAGGCCAAGCTGCTGGAAAAACTGACTGAAGTTAAATGTGCCTCTTGTGCCAAGAGCTCCAGACAAATTAAACTGGCCAACGTTCACCAAGAACTTCCCTCCAAAGAGGTTTTGCTGGAGTCGCTTGGGGTTGGACGTAAACTGAAGGGCAAGACGTGCCAGTTCTCTGGAGGGGAAAATCATCCTGATCATCTCTTTGAGAAGACTCTGTGAGACAGGAAACTGCTTGTCCTGCCCTACCAGCATGGGGCGGAGAAGGCCAGAGTCAACAAACAACTCCCTGAACAGAGGAGGGCAGAAGGTGGAGAACCTGGCCACACTCTGAGAGGCCCGTCTCTCCTCAGGAGAAAAGAACAAATTGTGTTGGCTGAAGTGGCCAGAGGGCCCGAAGTACAGTCGGGACAAAGCTTGCTGCCTTTCTGATGCACAGGATCGGTCTTCAGCTGTGTGTGGAGACAGAGCAAACAGGAGAAATGGTTTTAACATCACAAGCAAACATGAGACGATCTGTCATGGTGTACCATGTGTGTCAGAGAAGAACTGTGCTCCACAGAGCTTTCACAGATTTTTCTTCTATGATGTCTCTGGGTGGTCTTGAACCACCAACCATTTCAGTCAGTAGCCAATCACTTAACTGCATGTACCACCCAGGAACCACATTTACCAACAAACTCCTATTTGTGAAATGGTGTTTTCCAGCATCCTCTGGATAACTCACTGAAAATCTGAATGGGCTTTCATAGCTAGCTTTGTGTCTTTCTATGTGGTGCTCAAAGTCCTCCTTGTGGGACAGTCTTGTGTGGATTACTTATATATGTGCTGTGGAGTCAATTCTGACCCACAGACTGAGTGGAACTTCTCTGTAGGGTTTCCTAGGCTGTAAACTTTATGGGAGCGGGTTACCAGCTCTTTTCGCTGGCAGCATAGGTGTTGTTGTCGTTGTGCCATGGAGTTTGTTCCAACCCATAGCAACCCTGTACAGGGTTTCTGAGGAGCAACTGGTGAGCTTGAACCACCAACCTTGAAGTTCAAATGATCATAGCTCTACAGGGTCGCTATGGGTCAGAATTGACTCAAGGGCATGTAACATCAACAACAACAAAAGGTTTTTAAGGACAAGAACCATACTTTAAACACTATTCCTATTTCCCATAAAAAGCAATAACGTCCACCTAGCAAACATCATCCTTCTTGGTAGTTCCTTGAAATTACTTATTGAACAGTGGTCAGTTTGGATAAGTCAATGCACTTATGCTAAAATCTAGATCATCTCTATGAAAAAAAAATAATAAACTCCAAACCCCCAGTAGCTATCACTGGCACTGAAATGGTTATCAGTGAGCTCCAATGTTCTCCACAAAAATTACAAATCCTAGTAGAGAACCTCTTGAACCAGCCATTTTAAATAATTCTGCCCTCTCTGTTCCTGTGGATACCGAAGAGGTAGTCGGCCAATTTTCCTCTGTTACCAGGCAACAAAGGAAGAACATGTGGTCAGGGGTGGAAAGGGAAAAACATGTAACCCACCCCTCAGCAAGACCATGGCTTCCTTCAGTGACGATTACAGGATGGTATGGAAGAAATCAAGCTCGTTGCTTTGCTCAGTCCCTTTCCAAATTAAGAACATATGATTTCCATTCATTCATTATGTTATTACCAAGACAAAGGGATTCAGATATTGCTCCCGTGGGACATTCGTATCCACTGAGGTACAACGGATACAACTATATATGAAAATATATGATCTTTGCATTTGGTAGAGCTATTGCGTTTCATTTGAAAAACCATAGTTCTTCATTTCCATGCAGAAATTGGATGACACAACAGTCTCTAGATTTTAATAGAACTGAAACTATTGGACGAAATTTCCAAGATGGCTAGAAACACTCTGAAAACAGGATGTCGGCATTTTCCTGGTCTACTTCCTAACACCTGGCAGGTTGAATACTTCCAAACACTGTGTACAGTATCACAAAGTCAAGTTGGAGGCAGTGAATGATTCCACAAGAATCGCTGAGTGAGCATCCATCCTATCTATCGTGGTCCTAGAGAAAGTCCCGCAGTTCTCCTTCACAGTTTCAAATCATGCTGATCAACCAAACTGGCTGCTCTGAGAGTCCTCCTCCCCTTCATCACTAACACCCTCCAGCATCCTCCTGGAAGGGTGATATGGAATCACACTGGAATGCCCATTGCCATTCCTCTACCCACATCCCCCCAGGCCACTGCTTCTACTGTAGTGTGGTCCCCATCATCTTTCTTCCAGAAACTTCAAATGAGACCCAACTCTCATGGGGTCCCCTCTCTCATTCCAACCTGTCCTCCAACATTCAGAGGTGAACTTTCTAACGCACAAACTCCTTCATGAATGGGTTCAGTGAAAGGGGATGGGGGAGGATGGGGATAGGAGTTTATGACTCAATTGTTACTAACTGTTATCAGGACTAATTGCGGTGGTCACAACTGTAAATGCAGAAGATGTGTAACTAAAAGGGAGGAGTAGTTCATCTTTCATTTCAGGAATAGATGACGATAGGACCATCAATAAGGAAAGGCTTGAGTGGAGCGTGTGATCCTAACCAGGAAAGCAGTAACAGCAGAGACAGTAGTGATGGGCTAGAGAGAGAGAGAGAGCAGCTGAGGGCTCTAGGCCTATGGACTGAGAAAGGCTGTGTGTCTGCAGCAGGAGGCTGGTTTATAAAAGGTGCCCTTCGAACATTCAAATTAATATGTATTTCCTGTTTTTTATGTGTACATAAAAAAAAAAGAATACAAGTAAATACTGTTGACTTGGAGGGGATTGTAGATGGAGGGGATTGTAATCATTGCAATGAAACAAAATATGACTTATTCAGTGTAAAACTGACAATCTTCCCTGTAAAGTTTCACACAATTCACAATAAAAACTTAAAAACACATACACTACACCTATGGATTCAGTAGCTCAAAAGAGGGGACAAATCTTTACAGCAAGGATCATTCCCACCCCCCTCCCCCCATACACAGAGTAGACAGGGATGGGCAACTTGGACATTGGCTACCCAAAATGGGAGGGGGTGGGGGGGCTCAAAGGCAAGAAGTGACTGGCTTACAAGCTTTCAAGAGGGAATCTAGATCCAGAGGGTGTGAAGGAATGTAGAATCTCCACTGAAGTATTATCCAATCTGTCTAGGCGGGGCTGATGAAATTAAATATGGATAGGTCTCTTGTGATACAATAGTGAATAACTGTTATCAGGACTGATTGTGAGGGTTGGAAATGTAAAGGTATATGTTTTGTAGCAAGGAGGGAAGTGATTAACTTTCCAGTCTAAGAGTGGAGGTTCCTGGGACCATCAAGGGAGAAGAATGGAGTGTGGGACCCTACCCAGAGAAAGAGATAGAGGCAGAGACGATGACGTGGAGAGATGGAGCGGCTGGGGACTCTAGACACAGAGAGGGAGAGGGGCTGTGTGCTGATGACCAGGGGGCCAGGCTTGTAGGGTATACCCTTTGCTTGGTTGATGTTGCATGGAGGGGATTGTAACCATGGCAATGAAATGATATACGATAGGATGCATGTAAAACTAATGTTCTCCCATGTAAACTATCACATAATTCACAATAAAACAAACAAAACAAAAAAACCCACACACAAACAAACACCATCATGGCAACCTCCAGTGTAAAACCTCCCAACATCTGCACCTGTCCTCCACAATTTAGGATAGGTGTCCTCCGTCTCTCCCCTACCTATTTCCCCAGTAATACTAATGTTCACCATACTCCAACAACTTTGGTTTTTGCTCTATTCTTCCTGCAGATTTTGAGTGACCATTAGCTATAATTTGACACCTATAATTTATGTCTTTATAATTTTGTTTGTTCTGCTCTAGAGGGAACATCTTTTCTTCTTTTCCTCCTTCAGGAAACATCTTTTAGATGACTCTGATCCAGTGTCAAGCAGTCCCGGTGTCAAGGACCCCATCAGGCCCTCTGCAGTAGAAAAATGAGGCTCTTCATTTCCTTAAGGATTTACAGCCTTGGAAATGCTATGGGACAGTTCTACTCTGTCCAACAGGGTCACACTGAGTCAGAATCCACTCAACGGCAGCAGGGAAGGCCCAAACACCACTTGCTCCATGAAGCCTTCCTCAAGGTCTCCTTCTCACATCGGCTGTACAATAGAGTTATTCTGTCTCATATACCACTTGCCAACTTTTCCCTCTCTTTTCCTTTTCTCCACCATCCCGCCATGCTCTCTGAGCCCCCTGAGGAGGCAGCTATGCCTGACACAGGATGAGAAACATATAGAAAGAGAATGATGAAACACTGAGCTTCAGTTATATGGGGGCCAGAGGCCCATGGGACACACCCAGGAGGCAGTTGACTTAATGGGTTGGATTTCTTAAGAAGTTGATCCAGAGAAACAGTTAAGGTAGTCTGAACTGAGAAGACCCAAGCACTTGAAAGAAACCCACCACAAGATGGCAGTCCCTCGTCCCTCCGAGTCCCATGGATCTCCTTTCCTTGGGCATCCACACACCAGCATGGTCCATCCTGCTGGCACTGTGCTGGTTCGTAATCACCATTCCGGTTACAGGTTGGAATGTAGGGGTGACCAAAGCTGGTGGCTGTGAACTGTTCCACTTCACACTTTGTGGGGCCTACGATAAAGCCATGACGTGAAGAAGACAGTGAGTTAAGAGACACCTGATGAGTTTACAGCGCGCACTGCTCCTGTAGACTCGTTAGAACCACCACAGTGGTTTCCCCCTGGCTTCGGCTCAGTACTCACATCGGAATCTGCCAGAGATGACGGACTGGATGGTTAGGAACCGTCTCTGCAATATCCGGTACAGGGTGGTTTCACTGAAGGTGGAAGCGAGGTCCAGCCCAGCAAAGATGGTGTCATAAATCTCATCGAGTAAGAGCTCCATACCTGAGTGGAGAGAGACAGCAGGTACTTCAATGGGTGGGCTCGGTCAGAAAGGAATTCCTGATCTTACAGCGAGCGCGAGGGTCAGAGCCCCCACCAGCACCCTCGTGCAGCATGCTGTCTGCATACTTCTTTAACCGGGCCCACCTTCAGAGCTGCTCAGCATGTCTGTGCATTGTCACAGGTCTCAAAGGGGCACAGCTGAGAGAAGGATTGAAACCCATCCTGTGTTCCACTCACCAAGCTGTGCAACCTAACTTGAAGCTGCACCTGCCAAGAAGGGGGTGCCATTTCTAATGTGCCCAGAGGTACCCCAGAGCTAACAACAGTCGCCTTCAAAGGGTCATGCCCTCATCAACATGCCCCACAACAGCCGACATTGTGAATTCTGCGTTAGAGATGATGAGCTCTCATCAACCCCCACAAAAGCTGACATTGTGCAGTCTGCCTTAGTGGTGATGAGCTTGAACTGTAAATCCCACTCTCAGCCCCCAGTCTACCCTAGGTATGCTTACCTGTCTCAGCCAGTTCCCGCCCTTGACTGTCAGCACAGTGACAATACCCAGACACCTCAGGGAACCTGCTCCGGAATGACCTGAAGGTCACAAATGCATCTGGGAACCTAAGAGAGAAATTGATTTATGGTCACCAGCTCAGCCTAGGCAAGTCCCCATCAGCTCTTCCTGTCTTAAGAAACTAATGGAGCCAAGAAATCTCCATCTGGAGAAAGGAACGTCTGCTTTTGTGTCTCATTCTGTGTGCCCCAAGCTTCTGCCATGAATGCATTTCTTTCTAAATTGGTTTTAACCTGGCCAGAGCCAGGCTGGTCCTAGGAAAAATAAGGCTGTGCTTAGCTGTCACCTACTAATTAGCTATTTACCTCACTCACTCATGGTATGTGGATGATTTATGCCCATGCGGGTGTCTGGGAATCAGGCCGAAACAGGTAATACACTACATACTAACTGGCTCCTTTACTAGAATGTACCTCGAGAGACTCAAGGCCAAGTTTGCTTGACAAACATATGGTACATCGTATAGAACCTCATTTGGGGAGATCAAACTGCTTCAGGGTCTTGTAAAACTTTTCAAGAGCTTGAAAGGAGGTCAGAGTGCAGCCTAAAAAGACATATCACAGTTCCATAATGGAAAAAACACACGTTCAAAATAACATCACAGGCCAGGACAATACATCCCTTTCCATACACTGAGGGAATGCATAAGGCCTGGCTGATTTGGCAACTGCTGCAGTTGATGGACTCAAGCGTGGCAACAGTAGTGAGGTTGGCCCAGGATCAGGTAATGTTTCATCCTGCTGTGCATAAGGTAGCTATGAGTCAGTACTGACTCGATGGCACCTAACAACAACAACAGGAACTAAATGTCTGGGTTTCTCATTTTGGAAGTAATAAGAAGCTAAGAGTGGCATAAAGCCACACTGGAGACTTCTTCCCACATACAATGAGGTTCACAACCAGAGAGAAATGTGTTTTCATGCTCTATCTAGTTAGTGCATGAGATCCAAGGATAACGTGGTTCTACCCATGTCTGGAAATGCATACCAAAATACTAAGTTAACAGAAGCATCAGCTACCTTCACCAACAGGCTGATTGCTACATAGCCTATTCTAGCAAAAGACTGAAAACAGCCTTAACGTCCAATGAGAGAAATATTCAGGTAAATTGTAGTAAAGCCTCTAAAGTGAAATAAAAAGACTGCAATTCATGATACTTAAGGAGCTCTGGTAGTGTAGTGGTTACCAATCGGGCTGTGGGCCGCAAGGTCAGTAGTTTGAAACTACCAGCTGTTCCGCGGGAGAAAGACGAGGCTTTCTGTTCCTGTAAAGATTTACAGCCTTGGAAACCCTGTACAGGATTGCTATGAGTCGGAACTGACTCCATGGCACATAACAACAACAACATAAAACTCTAGCCCAAAGAGAACATGCATAACATTTATAAAACACAAGATGGCACGTACATGTATTGCAATTGTTGTTGTTAAGTGCCATTGAATTAATTCCAACCCATAGCGACCCTGTATAAGGTTTCCAAAGAGCAGCTAGTGAGCTTGAACCAAAGACCTTGCAGTTCAAAAGACTTTGCAGTCTGATGCATTAGCCCACAGCACCACACCAGGACTCCAATTATGACTATGCAAATGAGCCAGTCTTGGAAGGCAGTATCCTTAGTAACTGCTCAGAGCCTGCGCTTTGTAGTGCAATCAGTTGTTTGTTTGTTTGTTTAATTCAACAAATTACAATAAGTTAATACATATGCAAGACAAAAAAAAGGATGGAAACACTTTAGGATCATGAATAATGTTTTTTTCACATGTTTTCGGTCAATTCTTGTGTGTCTCTGCATTATTATTATTTTTTTTAATCTAGAAGTGAGCTGTTGTGGTTGTTGTTAAGTGCCTTCGAGTCAGTTCCAACTCATAGCGACCCTGTATAAGGTTTCCAGGGAGTGACTGCTGGGTTTGAACTGCTGACCTTGCAATGAACAGTTCAATGCTTATCCTGCAGCACCACACCAAAATACAACTTCACTTTGCCTAGTCACTGCTGATGGAGTTCTAGTGTGGCACTGTAGGATAAGCACTGGACTGCTAACTGTAGGGTCAGAGGGTCGCTATGACTCAGAACTGACTTGTCAGCATTTAACAAGTTGCTGCTGATGTTTGTGGTACAATGAAACCCTTTAAACAGCCAAGGTCTTGTAACTCCTACCAATCAATAACTGGGCAGGACTGTGAAAATAAGGTGCCTGTGAACCACCAAGCAGACTGGATAGCTTACTAATAACACAGATAAGGTGCATGACACCTTTGTGGAGTGGAACCATGGAAATATGGTGTGTGGAACCCAAATTAAGGTCAGTTTTACCATTCTACTAGGCTTAAAATGAGCCATTCAGCCTTACTACCACCAAGAAGCAAGAGCTCTGTTAATATAGTGGTTACAAGTCAGGCTGCTAATCTCAAGGTCTGATCAGTATCTTCTCCTACATTGCCCTAGCCCCAGCAGGCAAAAATGTTGTTTAGTGGGAATTTTTGTCCTGGTATGGCTTTGTGGACCAATGCGTCAGACTGCAAACTCGTTTGAACTGCAAGGTCAGCAGTTCAAGCTCAGCAGCTGCTCCTTGGAAACCCTATTCAGGGTGGCTATGGGTTGGGAATGACTCGACAGCACTTAACAACAACAACATTAGGCTGTGACTAGAATAGATAATAAATAATTCACTACAACACAGACCACCCACTGGCTCTTATAACCACCGTGCCTTGCAGACATGAGTTAGCGTTCCCATATCATTTTAACTGTAAGCACACACAGGAAAGCTTGTAAACCAGTCACTCCATGCCTTTATCTCCCCCCATTTTATATTTCTATTTCTTAAACTGCCCATCCTTGTCAACCCTATATTCTTCTTTCCATGTTCCTTGATGTAAAGAATCTTCTGTTCTTGTTGAAACTTTAGGCATCTGTATTCATAAGCAGAGTTGTATTCTTTCATCATAATTATTCAATCTGTATGCAGAGCAAATAATCTGAGGAGCTGGCTTATATGAAAAAAAAAACTTGGCACCAGGATTGGAGGAAGACTCATTAACAACCTGCAATGTGCAGATGATACAACCTTGCTTGCTGAAAGTGAAGAGACCTTAAAATATTTACTGATGAAGATGAAAGACCCCAGCCTCAGCTATAGTTTGCACCTCAACATAAAGAAAACAAAAATCCTTACCACTGGACCAAGAAACAGCATTCTTATCAACAGAGAAAAGACTGAAATTGTCAAGGACTTCATTCTTCTTGAATTAACTATCAACACTCATGGAAGCAGCAGTCAAGAAATCAAATGACGATTCATTAGGCAAATCTGCTGCACAAGACCTTTTTTAAGTGTTGAAGAGCACAAAGAACAAACAAATCTGTGTTGGAAAACATACAGCCAGAATGCTTCTCAGACGCCAGTATGACGAGATTTCGTCACTTATACTTTGGACATTTTATCAGGAGAGACCAGTCCCTGGAGCAGGACGTCATGCTAGGTAAAGTACAGAGTCACCAAAAAAGAGGAAGACCCCAACGAGATGGATTGGTACAGTGACAGAGCAGTATTGAGCTGAAACACAGCACCGATTGAGAGGATGGCACAGGACCAGGCAGTGTTTCACTCTGTTGGACATAGGGGGTCGGTATGAGTTGGAATGGATTAACAGCACCTAACAATAATAACATTTTGAGGAGATGCAATTCAATTGACAACATTCTATTCTTTAATTTTCCAATTTCATGTCCTTGTTACATACAAAACACATTTATTTCATCTCATGAGTCCAAAGTCTTAAATCAAATCCAAGCTCAAAGCACCAAAATATCTTCTTCTGAATCATTTAAATAAAATATGGGTGAGATTTTAGATGTATTCTATCCTAGGACAAACTTTTTCTTCATTGTGAACCTGTGAAACCTAAATGACAAGTTATCTATTTCCAAAGTACAGGGATAAAACAGGCATTAAATAGACATTTTCATTACAGATGGGAAAAGTTGGAGGGAAAAAAGGCATAATGGACACCAAGCAAGTCTAAAACTCATTAAACAATTTACATTAGTGTCAGGGACAGGTTAGGACCTCTGGGCCCTAAGCGTCTCTTACACTTGCTTCATGTCCATCCCCCTTTGACCTCAGTCCTTTCCTACACAGTAAGGGATCAAGAAAAGGGGCAAGGTTATCTCTAGTCCAACAAGAATGGTAATATTAAGAAGAATAGCCTGGAAACACAGATAAGGATATCAGAACTTGAAACCCTAATAGAAGCAGCTCGTTTCAGGCAGACAAGCCATGGAGATAGCTCCTAGAGCTAACAACTGTAGAGTGCACTGCACCCCTTTACTAAAAACTGATGAGTATTCAACATACTACTCCTCCTAATGAATATGTATTAGTCCATCCTTAGAGAAGGAGACCCCATATCCTTATAAACTAGTGTACCACAACCCCACAGGTCTTCGCCACTGGCAGAGACAGACCCACTTCTCTCTGAGGTGTACTTTCGCTTTGTAATAAAGAGTTTTGAAGTGAAAAAAAAAAGCGTTGAAGAGCAAAGATGTCAGCTTGAGGACTAAGGTGCGCCTGACCCAAGCCATGGTATTTTCAATAACCTCATATACATGAGAAAGCTGGACAGTGAATAAGGAAGACCGTAAAAGAATTCATGCTTTTGAGTCATGGTGTTGGAGGAGAATATTGAAAGTGCCATGAGCTGCCAAAAGAACCAACAGATCTGTTTTGAAGAAGTGCAGCCAGAGTGCTCCTTAGACAACAAGATGGCCAAACTTCATCTCTCATACTTCGGACATATTGTCAGGAGGGACCAGTTGCTGGAGAAGGATATCATGTTTGGTAAGGTGGAGGGTCAGAGAAAAAGAGGAAGACCCCCAACGAGATGGATTGGCCAAGTTGCAGCATCGATGGACTCAAGCATGGCAACAGTAGTGAGGTTGGCCCAGGATCTGGCAGTCTTATGTTTTTTATTGTGCATATGGGTTGGTACTGACTCAATGGCACCTAACAACAAGAAGAATTCATAAGCTAAATCCAATCCATGGC